AGGTTCAATTCTAAAAGATCTGCTCCTGTACACAGTTTTAGCTTTCATGTTGTGGACCTTCCCAGGCTTGCAACCTATCTTTATAATTAGCTTCATGATAATAAGCTAATCTGGAAATATCGTGACTACGGACAAATAAGTATGTGGCGTAGACTGAAGCTGTACATTTCTGTTGATATGCCAGTGATATAATCAGGCTGAAATAATTCCCATTGTAGAGAGATTGGGTCAGAAGATGGTTTCCACCCTAAGGTCAGCCAAAAAGACCATGGTTCATTTAAAATTTAAACTCCTGAACCATGGCTCACGCTTCACCATAGTTGTGAGTTTTGATGTGACTAGAGCTAGCCATGGTGCACCTGAGTAATATCTAGAAAGCCAGTCTACCTAGAACAAAAAGTAGTATGTACAAATAGTCCTTGACTTATGACAGTACATTTAGTGATAGTTCGAAGTTACAACCACACTGAAAAAAGTGTCTAATGACCGTTTTTCACACTTATGACCATTGCAGCATCTCCATGGTCATACGTTTTGGCAGCTTGACAACTGACTCACATTTATGACGGTTGCAGTGTCCTGGAGTCATGTAATCCCCTTCTATGACATTCTAACAAGCAAAGTCAATGGGGAAACCAGGTTCACTTAACAATTGTGTTACTAATTTAAGAACTGCAGGGATTCACTTAACAAATGTGGCGATAATAGTTGTAAAATGGGGCAAAAATCACTTAACCAATTTCTCACTTAACAATATAAATTTGGAACTCAATTGTGGTCATAAGTTAAGGACTACCGGTAATTATCTCAGCGCTCACTACCAAAATAGCAGTATGATATAATTTCATGGATTGCTTATAATATCCATTTTACTTGGCATATTGAGAGACACCTTCAAGCTATAGGAATAGAATCCTGTAGTTATTCTCATCTTCCTTTATGCTCTGGTCCCTGCTTTATGGATCACATTTGGATAGAAAGAAAAATGTTTAGTTCACATATTTAGCTATGATCGCTTTTCTGCTTCAGAATCCGTACTTTTACCTTCACTTGTGTGATAAGTTCTCCAAGCAAAGTGTCTTCATTATACTGATAGAAGAGAATATTTGTAGCTCAGGTTTGAACTGCGGGGTCCTCTCTGAGCTTGGTGGGGGTTTTGGGTTTTTTTTTTTGAAGATATCAATATCATAGATAATATCAGCATGATGCACTGATGGTGTTATCTAGTTTGGTAATGAAACGCCTGCCAGAAAACCACCAAGCTAAGAGAACACCAAGGACCCCCCAGTTTTCATGATCTCATAGCCCAAACATTTGAGCTGTACTGGAATATGACATTGCAAAATAGGTAAATGAACAGGTAGATAGCCCATACATAAATCTGTAGTTACTGTAATTAGAGTTTATTATTCATTTGCTTTCTCCTCCAAGTAAATCAAGAATTATATTTTCATAGGCCGACTTGGTTTGGCATACAAAGGTCTGTAAACGGAAGGGGTTGCTTGGCAAAGTAAACTCCATTAATCTCAAGAGCACTTTTATTCCTTGATGTTTATTGGTCTTCTGCAGATCATGCCACAATCTACCCATATCCTGAAAGCTGCTCATTCAACTTTTTCTTCAAATCAGAGAAGCTAAAAACTACTTAGATACATACAGTGATATCTATATAATACAAACAATGCAAGACAACCAATGACAATTTGAAATTACAAGTAATCAACTCTATTCTTCCAATAGCTGCAGAACAATTTAGAGCTTAAAAAAACAGACCTCAGCAACTCAATTCTAAAGATGTAAAGAATTCAAAAGGGAAACCTTCTCAACACTAATACTTACTAGATACATGACTATGGAGATTCTCAGTCATCCAGGTCATGGTTGTCCCAAAGTTGCTTTTTCAAGAGACGACTGGATTTCCTTGAAGAAGCTTCTTGGATGAGAAGTGAAATGTCTTCAATTTTCTTTGAAGACATTTCACTTCTCATCCAAGAAGCTTCTTCATCTCTGACTGGATAGTGGGGAATGGAAGGATTCTATATTCATGGTATATGCAATACAATATAGTGAGACATGTGCAGATCTGTACATTGGGGGAAACAAAACAACCACTTCATAAACACATGGCACAACATAGGAGAACAAACCCATCAGGACACGATTCAGCAGTTCATCTGCATTTAAAAAACAAAGGCCACTCTTTTGAAGGCAGTGAAGTTCACAGTTTGGACAGAGAGGACTGCTGGTTTGAAACAAGGGTCAAAAAGGCCATCTATGTCAAAACTGAACAGCTCTCTCTCAGCAGAGGGGGAAGGATACAACATCATCTATCTCCAGTTTACAACACAGTCCTTTCAACAGTTCCAAGAAGGTGCCACACCCATTTGCACTACTCATGTGTCTCTGAGGACACAGATAAACCTGCAAGTGGCCTCAATGACTCTCTAAAAGAATGCCAATGACCAGCTGTCTGCAAGGAATATAAGTCCGAATATAAATCCTTCCGTTCCCCATCACCCAGTCAGAGCTGAAGAAGCTTCTTGGATGAGAAATGAAACGTCTTCAAAAAAAAACACACACACAAGAAAGTCCAGTTGTCTCTTGAAAAAGCACCTTTGGGCCTTACTAGATACAAAATATTCAGTCAATACGTGGAAGTTTTTTCTCTCCAGCAATATTATACAGTCAGTGGTGGGCTGTGTTACAGTCCTGCTAAAATTCATGTCTCCAATATATTTGGAAGTAGGAGAAGCATATTTTCTTTTCAACTCTCTTTTTCTCAATTGCCCACAGATTTCAGAGCTATCTTGACCGAAGGGAGTTCCAATGCGGCAGAAGTTTTCCTTCCACTACCTGGGTGGCTTATCAGCCCAGAGTCTTGGTACACTTAAGGAAAGCTATTGCTACAACACAGAACCTGTTTCCAGCAGCAGCAAGAGCAGCAGGATATTCCTTGAGTTCATGCAGGGAAGGCAGACTGTAGTCTGACAAAAAATCTGGAGACAAGTTGAGACAAACATTACAAACTGTTCCAAAGAACCATTCTCTGCCTAGATGGGGGAAAAAAATCTGGATTCAATAGAGAGAAAATTAAACAGAAGCGACTAAGAAGTTGAGATGATAGATAGATAGATAGATAGATAGATAGATAGATAGATAGATAGATAGATAGATAGATAGATGTGTGTGTGTGTGTGTGTGTGTGTGTGTGTGTGTGTGAGAGAGAGAGAGAGAGAGAGAGAGAGAGAGAGAGAGAGAGAGAGAGAGAGGTTGCTTGCGTACTGCAATGTAATGAGAGGGCTTTGGGTTGGGAGTGGCTGAACTTTGACTCTTTCTTTGTTCAGTAAACAATGTCAAGAAAACTCAAATACATCTTTTGTATCTCCACAATGCAAAAGCCAAGATGATAGCCTGCATGAGAGATTCTACAGAAGACATGTCAAACTCAAGGCCCGCAGTCCAAATTTGGCCCTTGATATGGTTAGATCTGGTGCCAGGGGTTGGCCTCTGCCACCTCTACCTCAGCCCCAGTCTAGCCCAGCCTGGCTGGATGCTCCCCTTGGGCACACCTGGCCTGGTCCTTCCCCACCTGGCCTGGCTTCACCACACCTGGCCTGGCCTTGCCTCACCTTGCCATGCCTTGCCTCACCATGCCCAGCCAGGTAGCTTCAGCAGCAGCCTCAAGGAGGTGATAAGCATGGCCAGGTGCTCCCTCAGGGAAGCAAGGTCGGGTTGGGCTGTGGGGTCCCAGTGTCCCAGGAGCTCAAGGGCCAGCCTAGGCACTTGTCCTCTGCTGCCTAGGGCTCTAAGCAGCCCAGGGACCAGCAACACTAACCGGGTGCCTGGATCCTCCTCCAGGTAGGTCCACACCCATCCTCCTCTCTGCTCAGGCCATTGTGTTCAGGGCACAGCCCCCCCCCCTTCAGCCTCACATCCAGGATGCAGCAAGGCTCCTCTGGTGGATGAGGCTTTGGCACTCACCTTGGTCTCGCCTTTCTCTCCTGGAGACCTCCGGATCCCCCTCCCAGCTTTGCCTGGCCCCCACAGGTGGCCCCCAATGTGAGCATTGAGCTGGCCATGCCCACCAAGCCACACCCACCCAGCCACACCTATCCAGCCATGCCCACCTGGCCCTTTGAGGGCAACGATAATGCTGATGCAGCCCTCAATGAAATTGACTTTGACACCCCGTTCTACAGGATGAGATTTCACAGCCCTTGCTCTGAAGTTATGGAACAAGATAGATTTTCATTGGTCAGAATTGCTATCTTGTCTCTTCTCCTACCTCTGGGATGCTTTTCCATGCGGCAATACCTTAACTTCCTTTCCTCATCATTTCCTTCTTGCAGAATTGAAGAGCAGGTTTGCTATCTTTTGAACAATGGCTGGCTGGCTTTTTCTTCATCAGCTAGTTCAATGAGGTGAAGAGCAAAAAATGGGCTAGAGCGTTGGTCATATATTGAGTTTGTGCTCTTCTATGGATTGGCTGAAGGATCACTGGCTGGCACAAGGAGAGAGACAATTACTGGACACTACAAAGGTGTGTCAGTGTTTACATATGCTTATTTCACTCAGTTATGATGAAAGGAGTAAGACTGACAGTTTTATGGGAGAAAGCTAAATCTAGACATTCGGACAGCTGTGTTTGTCCCACGAGAACCTGTACAGAATACTGTGCTATGCAAATGATGTATTACGTGGGAGATCTAAGAGGGGATGGCTGCATTTCAATTCCAACTGCGATCAATTTGTTTTGAGTATGATGTTCTAACCCAGTGTTTCTCAACCTTGACAATTTTAAGGCATGTGGACTTCAACTCCCAGAATTCCACAGCCAGCGTTGCTGGTTGTGGAATTCTGGGAGTTGAAGTCCACATGCCTTAAAATTGTCAAGGTTGAGAAACACTGTTCTAACCACTTGCTGTGAACTGCTTAGAGCTGGTTGGCGTCAGGCAGCTTCAAAACTGGATCTAAATAAACAGCAGCAAAAACATTATTTATTCATTTTGTTTTTATATTTCTTTATTTTCATTTGTTTAACATTGTGAAGCTCCAGGCATTTTATGCTGAGAAACCACTAGGTCAGCATTTTCTTGAAAAGGAGCAAAAAGGTTTTGGTTGTTTTTTTTTTTCTTTCATAGGTACTGTTAGCAAGCATCAATGAGGGCAGGCACAGGTGTATCTCTGCTATGTAACCGTCAGGCAATACAACTTTCCAAAGTGAGAGTTGAATTGGTGTGATACTCAGCCATAGATATTTTCCGCAGGATCATGTTTGATTGGTTCAGCTATTCATGGGTATGGTTGCAAAAGATGGAATGCAACTCTGAGGATGAACTTCCTCTTTTATGAGAAGCAATAACAGTTGAGTTCCTGTTTACAGAAGACAGAGGGGAAAAAAAAACAATAGAAGAATAAGGGTTTTTATTTGGTCTAAAAGGATTAAGCTAAAGGCAAAGTTGTCCTTTTAGGTCTGACAGGATTATGCAAGAGTGAAAAACTAACTCTTGCTCTTTTGCGTTCATGAGGCCAGGGAAAACTTTCATTTTGTCTTGCCGCAATACATGCATATATTTAGGATATTATTAGGGTTATTTTAAATCCTAAATTAAATTAAATCTTATTTTAAATCAAGCCAGGAAGAGATATTTCTGGAAATGTTATGTGCAGATAAAAAACCCCAAATTACAGTGGCAATAGCCAAATAGGTAACTATGGTTATAAAAATAAGGTTTTTACTTACACATTAATAACTTTGAGGTTTAAATGTTTTATCTAATACTTTATTTTATTGGTTAAATAGTTTTGTTTGATGCCAAGCTTTTACATTGTGTTTATATTCTGTTCTTTGGGTCTTTCGCAAAAAAAATATTTCGGTTGTTGACTTAGATCTGTGTGCTCATCACTTATCTATGCCTAAATCATGCTTATTTCATTAGTTGCAATTTGAATAGTTATGAGAGGCAATTAAAGGGTAAAATGGAAAGAACCACTGGAATGATTTATCATCAGAGATTGGGAATGAAAATTCCTCCCTCTCCTTCATCGCTGGCACTTTTTGCAAACTTGCTGAAAGTTTTCCATCATCTCTACTTTAGCCTTAGAGTTTCCCCTGAGCACCAATTTCCATCATGTTCCACACCAAACTACTTCCATGCCTGTTTAAGAAGACTGAGGCAGATGGGAAGCTGTAACTTTAAATACTTCATCATATCTAATATCATGAAGGGAAATTCAGTTATTATCTTTAATGTAACACAGGTGCTTAATAGGCTTTTCAGAAGTCTGTCCTTGATACGTAATGCAGCAGAACAATAACTTTGTCAACGTTTTTTTGGTAACACTATCCCAAATTGTATAGCTGAAATTTCTCTGTCAGATGACAAGTGCCATTACCTCAAGAGTTCCCCAGCTCCTAGAGGGTTTCCTAAACTGCTCCCACCCCCTTGGGTTGCTGCATGTTACAGATCATGTTTCAGACTGAAAATATAGATTAACTGTGATCTTGACAGAGATCTAGTTATCTTGTCAAAAGCAATGTAGAACCAAAGGATAGAAAGAACTTTCAAGCAATTAATGGATCATCGTCTGAATATCACCTCATGGAACTCCCCCCCCCTCTACTATTTTCAACTATTTTATAGAGCCTTTTTAAAAAAATAGTGCTCATAAAATCCCATTTCAGATAGTCCTCGACAATCACAACTGAGCCCAAAATTTCTGTAGCCAAACAAGACAGTTGCCCCATTTTATGACCTTTCTTGCTACAGTTGCTAAACGAATCACTGCTGTTAAGTTAATAACACAGTTGCTAAGTAAATCTGGCTTCCCCATTGACTTTGCTAGTCACAGAAACCATCAGAAATACATGACAGTTGCCAAGCATCCAAATCTGGATCATAGGACTGTGGAGCTGCTGTAATGGTCATAAGTATGAAAAAAGGTCATAAATCACTTTATTTTCAGTGCTGTTGTAACTAAATGAATGGTGGTATGTCGAGGACTACTTGTACACCAAAGTTAGACTCCAAACTAATAATGACCCCAGTCACACCAACAAATCTCTAGATCAGGGGTCTTCAAACTTGGCCCTTTTATGACTTGTGGACTTCAACTCCCAGAATTCCTCAGCCAGCGTGCCTGGCTGAGGAATTCTGGGAGCTGAAGTCCACAAGTCATAAAAGGGCCAAGTTCAAAGACCCCTGCTCTAGATGACAGCGAAGTCCTCAGCTCTACAAATCACTCTCTTTATATTAAGTTACCCTAATTAGAAGTGAAGGGGGAGAGTAGGAGAAACTATTTCCCCCTGGGCCCCTTGCTTTCTCCATTAGTTTCGGACCATTCAAGCATTTCCAGAGTAATGGGATGGGGGACATGTTTTACAATCGCCACTGCTGCGTACTAGGCTGCCATTTGGGAAAATAAGGAAAGAGTGGGGTTCTTTGGTGGCTGAAGAGATGGACCAAGGCTCTTAGTGAAACGAAGAAGTCATCTATAGTCACCATGTTTCATTTAGCATTTTGTAAACTGATGTTATGCTTATTTATGTCCATATATTGTTTAGTAGCTTTATCTTCTAAGTAACAGCTGAAAGGGAAACAATAAGCTAGCCTTTTCCATTCTGATGGCTTCATGAGGTTTTAGGACTACAACTCCCATTTGCCTTGGTTGATGGCTACTTGAATATTCCTCCACTTCAAAATGATTTATGGAGCCTAGAATTAAAAAGTTACAGTTTGTAGATTCTGCTTGTGTTTAATTCCAGACCTCAAAGAGGAACACAGCCTCATCCAGAACAAGCAGTTTGACTAATTCTCAGAACTGGAAACTACGCATCCACAGTGTGCTTCTCTTATTTGGATCCAGCTTGAACTAAAAAATGCAACTCTCTTTCTACTTTCCAGTATGGAATATGTTTGTCAGGCAGGTTTTCCAGGGAGCAGAAAAGAGGCTCTTTAAACCCAGCCGTGTTTTGGAGAGTAGAGTCAACTTTTCTCAGAAGACATTTTTCTTCCCACATTTTCTTTACTGTCACAGGGGGAAAAAAGTAAAATATATTTTCTACTGTTTCGGGGGAGGAGGTTTAGTGGACAGATGGAACAACTGCAATTTCACCATTCACGATGGTAAAAAAAAAAAAAAAGCACACTAAGTCCAGATCATTGTAGAAGATACACAAAAACATCCCCATTTTTTTAGACAGGATGGGGTGGGGGGGAGATGTGCTACTTTCATTGCCATTAGGGAATCCCATTCCTGAGAAATAGTTAGAACATTTCTTCCCTCCTTGAAATATTTAGACATTGGTCAAATTGTCTCCCCAATTTCACTAACAATTTCACTGATCACTGATTCACTAACAACTTTGAAAGGCTGACTACAGCATGCCTACCTATCTATTGGGGATATCCATACAAAGTGCAAAGCAAGGTTTGAGATTGCAGTGACTCAGTCATTGGTTTTATGACTTTGCAGCTCAATTATACAAATTTCTTTGGGGTATTTCTCATGTCCAGATGGCATTTGAAATCGTCCCCTCATCTAAGTACATAATTTTATGAAAGTAAAAAATGTTTTTTAACTGTTGGAGTTACCTCCCCCCATTATGCATTGAAACAATATATTGAAAATAACAAATAGCTTGTTTATTCACATCTACATTTTTTATCCTTATCTAATCTTGGTTCCCATGGATTTAAAAGGGGGTGGATATGTGATTTTCAATTCACCCAAGCCCCTAAAATGGCAGACAGCAAAGAGGAAAATTCTTTTGCTGTCTAGTCTTATAAAATAATATAGCTAGTTTCTAACAGTGATATTCCTAACAGAATATAGTGAATCCCCACAACCCCACTATTGCATTCTTCACCAGAGGAATTTAGCCCACCTCCTTAGAATCTAGTTATTAACAATGCAGGCAACCTGGGTTTCTGCTTTCAGGTACAAGAAGAACAGCAGCAAAAGCTTAACTCATATGTTTTATTGCCATAATTACATTCTGCACTTGCTAATAAAAAGGTAGTGCTTTCTTTTAAAATTCCCTTTTCAAATTCTGTGTTCATATTTAGGAAATAATTACATGCTTACAATCCACTCTTTAAAGACCAGTTTAGAAAGTATGTTGCAACACATGGTCTTTAATACATCCAAATACTTCTTGCTCAGGCAAACATTCATTCCCCACCTTTTCTCTTCTCCTTCACATCAATGCTTGGCTCAGGGCAATTAAGTTGTGGGTTCAGTCTCCCTCCTTTGCAACTGGTTCAAAATATGTGCTACATGTTTAACATGTGGGGCACTTGTGATCTTACTAGAAAATTTTGCAGGAATTTAGAACAGTCAGATGCCCCAGAATATCTAATGATAATAGCCACATCGTAAACTGCAGATGGAGGTGTCTATGAAATTGCAGGCTATATTAGGATAAAGAAATGTATTTATTTATTTGTTAAATTTATCTGTGATCCATCTCAGTCTGGGGCTACTCTGGGAAGCTTACAACAATGGAAAATAAAATCTGATAAAAATGTAAAAGTAACAATAGTAAAGGAATGAAACATTAAAAATAAACAGCAGAAGCACAATAATATGAAATAAAAAGATGAGCAGGAAGGGAGCAGGAAGTTCAGGATGGAGGATGGGAAATAGGTAGTAATAGGCAGTGCTTTTTTTGTTAAAAAAAAAAAAAGGTGCCAGAACTCACACATGTCATACAATCCGCCTTGCCTATCCTACAAGGTTCCATCCAAAAAAGGTGCTGGAACTCCGTTCTGGGCGTTCTATGACAAAAAAAGCCCTAATAATACGTAACCTCTTTGGAATACATTTGGAATTTTGAGAACATGTTATTGTGTTTGCACAAATTGACATTCATATGATGAATATGGTCAATCATAAAACAAAAAAACCATCCACCTTCCTTGTTCTGCTCCCTCAGGAATATTCTAACCTTATTTTTCTCCCTGAGTAGATAGGCACACACTTTCAACCAAACTATTGGGCATCTCTCCCTCCCTCCCTCTCTCTCTCTCTCTCTCTCTCTCTCTCTCTCCCCTCTCTCTCTCTCTCTCTCTCACACACACACACACACACACACACACAGAGAGAGAGAGAGAGAGAGAGAGAGAGAGAGAGAGAGAGAGAGAGAGAGAGAGAGAGAGAGTTTATTGCCTACAACACTCATAAATAAAGGTAATAAATAAACTTTGTTAAAAAGTCAGGTGGGCTGAGCGTAGTCAGCCACTGAAAGAGTTGTTGTTAGCCAGTGTGATGGCCAGGGATGTCTTCTTCCCATCAAATGAACAGAAGCAATAGCTATGATGCACCCTTGAATGATAGCTTGATTTTTATCATCCTTTTCAGAATCAGAAATAATTTCTCAAAGAAGGCCTCTCTACTCCATGTTATTTTCTCGTGCTTTTAAAAAGATTTCCTAAAACCAATATATAGATTTTTTTCTTGAAGAACACAGGTCCTGCCAGGTTTTACAGCATCTCATCTATCCTGAAGAAACCTGCACCAAATGAGCCAAGGAGAACATTTCACAGAAAAAGGGTTCTTTGACTGCACACAATGTAGTGGCAATGTGATAACAATAACAACAACAACAACAACAACAACAACAATAATAATAATAATAATAAAAAAGTTGGAAGGGACCTTGGGGGTCATCTAGTCCAACTCTCTGCTCAAGTAGGAAACCCTATACCATTTCAGACAAATGGCTGTCCAGTCTCTTCTTAAAAACTTCCAGTGTTAGAGCATTCACAGCTTCTGGAGGCAGGTTGTTCCACTGATTAATTGTTCTGTCAGGAAGTTTCTCCTTAGTTCTAGGCTGCTTCTCTCCATCCACTGCTTCTTGTCCTGCCTTCAGGTGCTTTGGAGAATAGCTTGACTCCCTCATCTTTGTGGCAGCCCCTGAGATATTGGAACATTGCTATCATGTCCCCCCTCGTCCTTCTCTTCGTTAAACTAGACATACCCAATTCTAGCAGCCTTTCCTTATATGCTTTAGCCTCCAGTCCCCTAATCATCTTTGTTGCCTTTCTCTGTACTCTTTCTAGAGTCTCAACATCTTTTTTACATCATGGTGACCAAAACTGGATGCAGTATTCCAAGTGTGGCCTTACCAAGGCATTGTAAAGTGGTATTAACGTATGATAACATATGTTTTTAATCTCTTGCCTTCTTTTAAACTCCATCCTGAGCTCCTCTGGGAAGAAAAGCAGGCTAGAAATCAAATGATCAAACTGAATAATGTGTCCCAAGCCTGATCCTTCTGCCACAAATAGGCAACAGGGCTATTCTTTCCACAGTGTCTCTGCATTTGTCATTTGGTTGGGTGGAAGGAGGATTAATCCCACACACCTAACATTCACTTCTGAGAGAATGGGGCTTATTTATAAGTGAACACACACAAGGAAGCAACATCCCCACCATTCTGGCCACCGCAATCTGAAGTCAGAAAATCTTTTTAATTTTGGAAATTAAGCATGTGTGTGGTGCTGTTCATATAATTTTGACACATAAGATGGATACCTTTTCTTGAATCTGCAGTTAAGATTTTCTCCTCTTCCTTTGCCTTCCAAACAGATCAGTCCAAATCCAGGAGTGGGCAATCATATTTTATTAAGGGGCTACATGAGAAACCTATAGAGCTGTGAAAGTACACAGGCATATACACTCAGACATACATAAATTGGGGGGAGGGGGAGAGAGATAAGCAGTTGCTTTCAAAATAAAAGCAATCCACGTGGGCAAGACAGAGTCTGGTCTAAATGAATACACTTACACAATCCAAATGAAAATTGTCCTGGAAACCTCCTCATAAAGTCAGCCAAGTGCTGTACTTTCCTGGTCACTCTTGATAGCTGGCAACTCTAAGCGTGAGGCCTGTTTTCCTCCCTTCTTCTCTGTACCCTGTAGAAGTAAAAATGGCTTTGGGAGAAAGAAGTGCCAAGATTCAGAAGTGGTTTCAATGTGTGGGGCAAAGCATGATGGGGGCCCATTTATCACTGAGGCCTGTTAAGCCCTGCAAATAGCGACATGCTCAGCCAGTTTGGCATTAGAAGACCATGAGGCAGAGACCCAAAACAAACCTTTCATCAGAAATTTATGCAAAATGATCTTGCTAGAGTTAAAACCCAAGAGTGCAGCCCACCTTGCCTATGGATTTTAAAGGACCTGGATTTCACCCCAATTTTTAGAAAGTTAAATTTATGGGCAAAAAAACTTTGCAGACTACAGGAAAACTAGACTGGGAACTCAGAAGCATTAACAGGATCTACAAAACAAATCAAAATCCATTCCCCCCAGCCCCCTTCGAATCTCACTTATTGCCATCTATTGCTGAAAGAAAATGTAAAAAGTGATCCAAAGTAGAACTTTACCTGACTAAATCTTAATAAAGGTTTAAATAATTTATTTAGGTTAAAAATATATTGACTATTATAACAGTTGCAAATATTTTGATTGCTTATTAAAATACGAAAATTTTAGCTGTTTTATGGCAATAAAAGCCTAAGACATGTAGGCCTTCAGAATGTCTACCACCCATACAATTTATTTGGGGACAATGAAAAATATTCCCAGGGAATGTTATTATTTCAGCTGTTCCAAAAGTTAGAGAAGAAAACAGAAAAGATTGTTAGTCTAATGCTAATCTTGGTGTTAATCTTTGCTCATCTGGGTATTTGATTGCAAGTGAGATGTTTTAGTCTTTTTGTTCCCTTTTTGGCTCTTTGATTGGCTCTTTTGACATTAGACCAACAATAAAGATGTAAACAATACTCTAATCAAGCTACCAACCCAATCAAGGAACCACCAAACAACTCCTACCAATGCTGACAGATCAAGCCACCAGGATATAAAATGAGAGCAAATCCCACTAGCACTGATGGTATTATTTGGTTTGCTAATGAAACATCTGCAAGAAAACAACCAAGCTCAGAGAGCACCAAGGACCTCTCATTTCAAGCTACAGATATTCTCTTCCAAACGTCCAAATTAAAAAAAAAGGTTAAAGAAAAAAGATGTTCAAAAAAAATAGAGGAGAAAGACCATACTTACAAATCCAAACTGATTTCTGTCACCAGAGCATGAAACATTTTGTCAATGCTGCAACTGAAGCCATTTTCACTTTGTTTTTGGTTGCCACATATTTAGAATAGAAGGAGGGAGGGGGGGGTGTAATTCTCAGTTAGCCAAAACATTCTCTAACATTTTGTCGGGCTGTAGAACTGGGAGGAGTGCCCGTGTTTTCTAACAATTGGTGAACATGATTAATGACATTTAATTGGGGTGGGATTTGCAACTTGCAATTTCGTAACCAAGGGGAGGCGAATTTACTCTTGGGTTCACCTTTGTAAGTGCTGTTATTTTGTAACCAAATAAAAATGTTCTTTGAGGAAGAATTCCTTGCCTTGAAGTTCTTTTAATTGGTCTCATCTACCGGAACCATGACACATCTACCTTTTCCATCCTGAACTCAGCAGAGATTGTATCTGTATTTTCCTATACTTTTAGATATACTCTTAGCCCTAAATTCACCAGTTTGCTAATCACATCAATTCCAGAAGGAACCAGCAAATGTGAACACACACCAATTTCCACAACAATCCGATATCAAAAGAAAAGCATAATAAAAATATAAATACAAAATGAGAAAACTTAGGACTCCAGTTGCACCATGGGGAGAGAGTTGATGTTGACCAGTACTAAGAGTGAAGGAGCCATCAGACCTGAGAGCTGTATCTCAAAATCAAGATCTAATCCAGGGGTAGGCAACCCAAAACACTCAAAGAGCCACTTGGACCCGTTTCCCACCAAAAACAAAACACTTGGAGCCGCAAAACTCTTTTGATATCTAAAATGAAGATAACACTGCATATATCCCTTTTTTACCTTTATTATAGGTATATATATCCTTAATGGTTATAAAAATACGAATCCCGGGCATATTTGTTCAATGATGCAATCTTCGATCTCTGGGAAGAGTATACTTCAGTATTTATTGTTAAAACAACATTTAAAACAATAAAGACAGTTATATACAAGATTAAAACAACTTAGCTTTCGCTGGTCCTCTGCCAGCATCCTCAGAGTGGGGCTTAGGGGGTGGGAAAGTTCTTTTTATCCCCTTGCTGATCCAATTGCCTACTCATTGCCCTCGTGACAGGGCCACTCTTCCTGATTGCCTGTGACTGCCTTAACTGTTCCGCCCTCTCTTTTTTGCACTTTAACGTTGTATTTTTCTGCTCTGTCATCCTTGTGCCGTCTCCCCCTCCCTGCGCTGTTATCACTAACACACTCCTCAATCCTTCCTCTCTACCCAATGCAAGGTGCCTCCTCCAATTCGGCACTACACGAGTCCTGTTGGGCTGCTGGGCTGCCTGCCGTTTTTGCATTCCATTGCCAGTTCCTATCTCATCTCCCTCCTCCAACTCCCCTCCTCTCCTACCCTGCTGATTCATACACCCTTTGTTGTCCATTCCTGTCATCCTTCCCCCCCCTTCCTTCAACCCTCCCACCTGTTGATTAACATATTGCTCCTGCCTTTCATCAACCATTCCTATTGATGTTCTCTTCCTCAATGTCTTTTCCTTCCTGATCTGTTGCTCTACCTGCTGTTCCTGTTTACCCTCCTCCCCCACTGTCCATCTTCCCCTCTCCAATGTCCTCCCCGTAATCTGCTGCCTGTTGTTCATCCATTTCTGTCCATCCTCTCTCTTCCTCTCTCTGATCTTCTGCTCACCTGGCAACCTGGCTTCAAGCTTTTCTCCAACAAGCTGACACACATTCTTATTGGGTTGGCTCAGGGCTAGGCAACCTCGGCTCTTTTATGACTCCTGGACTTCAACTCCCAGAATTCCTGAGTCAGCATAGCTGGGCTAGCTAGCTCTCTCCTGCCCTTCCTGCTTCCTGCTTCCTGCAGAGACACAGCAAAAGGAGGAGCCCCGCCCAATAGGCTTGTGAGCTTGTTGGAACAGGGTGAGGCTACTCTCTTTTTGAGAGAGAGAGAGAGAGAGAGAGAGAGAGAGAGAGAGCAAGTGCCTCTCTTTCTGTCTCTCTCTACAAATGGCAGAGGAGGCTGGGAGCTGCAGGGGAAGTCTCAAAGAGCCACATGCGGATCTGGAGCTGCAGGTTGCCGACCTATGATCTAACCCAAAGCTATGTTAGATTAAGGGAGTCAAAGGAATCCTTGTCTTCTACAAATAAAGCGCATAGGCTGCAGCTTTATAACTCCCTGTTCCTAAGCAGACAATAGATCCGGGGGGGGGGGCATCTAGCAACTATTTCTGGTAGCCAGCCAGTATTGCAAGTGTAATCCTATTTTTTCCTGCAAACACACTGTTCAAAAATCAGGTGTATCTTATACAAGTGCACCGTCTTATACATGAATAAATAATGGTAACCTACGCAGCCCAGGGCATGCCTGTGTGGGTTCTTTACATGCCACTGCCATGCCGCCTGGTGCAGGTGTCAAGCCCCTGTGGGCTTGCCACTAACAGGAGGGGGAGGGGGCAAGATCGTCAGATTGCAGCATCTGGAGGCAGCGGATCGGACCAGCAGCATGGATGGTAGCAACAGCTCTTTTCCTCCTTCGTACCTGTATTCTGGTCCGGGACTCTGTGGAACACAGCTGTGAGGCCATCCTGCTCGATTAATAGTGGCCGGTTAAACTTCCGGATTTTCCGGTTCAGCTGTTCGGTGCTCTGCCGAACAGCTGATCAGTATGGAGAAACAGTGGGGAGTTTAAAACCTGCCTTCACTTCCCTTGCCTTGCATTCATGCCAGTGCTCATGCCAGTTTGTTTACCAGGGTTGGAAGGCTGCTGCTGTGAACTATTTATGCTCATCATGCCGGATGCTGGTTGGGTGGATGGGGGGGGGGCAGCCAGGAGGCATCTATTTAGAGGGCTGGGAGGTGGTTGCTCCCAGTGCTGACTTTGTTTGCTGTAAGCTTAGAACTCGCATGCCAGAGCATCTTATACAAGGGTGCATCTTATACACGGAACAATATGGTAACTAATAATATAACACAAAACCTAGGGCAACTAAATGAACAGCCTATAAATTTAAAGAGAACTTTACACAGATGATCTGTCTTTTTTAAAAAGAGAGAAAGAGAGAAACCTGAATGTGCAGAGACTTTAGTTAGTAAGCCCAGTAGTGTTTGTTATATATAATAACACAGTATGAAATAGTGACACTTTGGGGAAAAAAAAGATAGAATTATCAGAGATTAGAAGTGACCTACTGAAAAAGAAAATCTCATTGGAGCCAATCCAGAGAAACTGGGCATAGGAGTTTATTATTTCAGTAGCTGTAGTGAAAATTCCCTCTGGGGTGATCTGTGAAACTAGCCACCCCTCTTGGTCTGTGGCAAGAGTCCACCTCCCCCTACACATACACACCCCAATCCCCTTCATTGACATGGTAATGTGCTTTGTTGCATTCAAAGACGATTACATCAGAAATGTGTGGCCTCGTGTGGGTTTCCCAAGGCTTATAAAACCTACAAGTTATACAAAAATATTGGCTTCAAAAATTAGTAAGCCATAGAAATAGGTGTTGTTTTAGCCTTGCTTTACTGCAAGGGAGGAAAACTGGCAGCTCAAGATCTCTTGCCAGTCGTTCTAACCCTCTTTCCTTGCTATTTTTTTTTTTATTATTTTTTGGTGGGCTTGCTTCAGATAAAACTGTCTGTGTTTTTGAAAGATTTTCCTACAGAGGGGACATTTTTCATAGCGTTAGCCTCAAAAGAACTAATTATCTTCCCAATTATGCTGGTGGGACGCCTTTGGCCTCCATGTAATTTGCCTGCCTTTAGCAAGGTGAATCAACAGAGGAAATTGGTACAGTTTTAAATACATGCACGCACATGCAGAGTCACACAGGGCTTCCAGTTTGGTAGACTGGAATTACGCTCTCAGAAAAGTGTTGCTGTGTTGTAGTACTGCCCTCCATGATTAAATGAGCTTTATGCTGTAAATGCAATGAACGATAATAGGATTCAGTTTAATACAGGTAGCTGTTGCTTCACAACCACAATTAAGACCAGTAACTCTGTTGCTAAGCAATCTGCTTGTTAAATGAGATATCATGTGATCATAACAGACTTATAACCTCACCTCTGCCACAGTTATTAAATGAATCACTCATGATTGTTAAGCAAGATATCACATGACCACGATTTACGATTTTACTGCTGGCTTCTCTGTTGACTCTGCTTGTTAGAAAGCAGCTGTGAAGTGCACACCTGATTATCACATGACTGTGGGATGCTGCAATGGTGAAAAGCCCAAATCTCAGTTAGATGACCATGATTGGAGACTGGTCATAAAGTTGGTTTTTCCACTTAAATTCATATGATCACTAAACAGGGCAATTTATTAAGCTAGGTCTTATTTTGCTGTCTCAGTCTTCCTCAGGCACTTTGGACCTCAGCTTATATAATAATAGCCACATCAGTAGGGCTATTATTATTATGAATCATGCTGGGTAGGAATCATAAAGTAAAACTATAACATACTTAAAAGATACCAGCTTGGGGAAGGCTCAATACATTATCAGGCAAAGTCCAAATTGGGCAATCAAGAATTTTCTTGCAAAGAAAACTTGCCTTTCCCATGGTGTAAAATGTCCATTCTCAAAAGGCAATGATGATATTTTGGGTGAATGATCATGATTTAGTTTTCTGGTACTCTGACATTTTGCCAGCAGTTGTGACTGGCATCCTCAAAGGCAGAGCTGATCTCTTTGTAGTGTACTTCTTGGCAGTTTGCAGGCAACTGGACAGGGATTGGCTACTGTAGTCTATCCAGATAATGAACCAATCAGGAACCAACTTTCTTGGAGTTCCGTGACATGGACTAATCAGAGACCAGTTTGCCAGGTTCAGCTACAGAATCCAGTCAGTCCTTGTTCATTTGCCTATGAGCTACAGACAAGCACGTTACAAAGCAGGTCATTCTGCCTTTGAAGAAGCCAGCCAGCCACTACTGCTTGTGAAACATCAGGACACCAGAAAACTAGGCCATGGGTATTCAACCTGAAAACTCACCATGGTTTAACTGACACTGGCCATGAAAACCTCTTTCTCTCTGAAATATACAATGTGCATGGAGGGTAGAATTGAAATTGATCCATTTGGTTTCAAGCTAGCTGTTCAGACACAAATGGATGTTCACCCATGTTACTAATCTGACCACTGTCCTAACCCCTAGCACTTGTATCCAGAAAATAGACATGTCAATAAAATATAAGTGTATGCAGAGCTAGTAGGAATAGCTGGAAGCAATCAGAACTCCCTCTCCTGTGAATTCCCTCTTAGTAAATCTGAAAATTCAGATGCTTGATGTAGGTAAAACCAAGTCCTTTTTTTCCCCTAGAAAATTTATTCACAGCTATACCCTTTGCTAATTCTCTCTTTGGCATCTTGCCATGCAGGGGTCTTTTTTCCCCCTTTTTTTGAGGCTGGGGTATGCTCCAGGCTTCAGGTGGAGCCAGGGAGTCTCTGAACATGGATGGCACTAAAACATTACATCAGTGAGAGCTTATCTAATTGTCCTTGCCTCCAGTGGATTCACTTGGACAAGATTTGAAGGCCCTTTTCACAGAGGCCTACAGGATACTACCCTTTGCTCTCCTTCCTAGAAATCAAGGTGAAATTTTCCAAGACATTTGATTAATTGAATATTAAATGAGGTGATAATTTTCCCAAATAGTGGGAACTGCAATTCACAAGGCCACAGCCCAGGAGGTACTGATAAAACTTTGTTGATCTAGGGTTATTGACACTGTTTATCAGTAGAAGATAAAAGTCTCGTTGCAAACTCACTTGTTCC